CTCACCTCTCGGAACACTGGCGTGTCGTAGTACTGTTTGCGCATGAGCTCCCAGTACGTGCCGGGGTTCTTGTCGCAGTTGAGCACAGTCGGGGTGAAACACGTGCTCCACCCTGGCGATCCCGGTACCTTCTTTATGATCACACTCTCAATAGAATTCCTGGGCGAGAAAAGGATCAGACACATCAAAACATGAAAGATTCAATTCAGACAAACCATACCTTCTTTTTAGTCATATCTTCACAGGAATGCGCACTTAATAGATGCATGAGACTTATACATGCACGTACCACTTTCCATTGTTGACCTTGATCCCATCGTATGTGTTGATGCATGCACCCCCCTTGATAGTCACACCCGACGTGACAAAATCGAGGTAGTAGCAGTGGTCTCCGTTGAACACGTAGTTGCACTCAGCCGTGTTGTCTGCAGAAGAATAGGAGGGCAGGGCGGATGGCAAAAGGTTTATTAATGAAGCGCCTCAGATATCAGGGTAGCATGTTATTTTCACTGACTCGACTCAACCTTCTTACAAGTAATGAACCAGCCCCCACCAGAGCTGAACCCGAGCTCACCTGGGCTGAACCAGTGCACGCAGTAGTAAATTCCTGCCGCGTCCTGGTCGCCGGATCTGTTTCGCCCAGCAGCGACGATGTGGTTGCGATCGATCTGCGTGAGCATGCAATCCGCGGCGAAGTGCACGTCTGAGCCGCAGCGAATTCCCGCGAAGAGAAAGTCGTGCACGTAGTTGTTTCGCACGATCGCGCCGATGGTTCCGCGGTGGATAACGATTGGTGTGTGGACACCTGGGGGAATCCGGGGTAGGGGAAAAAGGGGAAGGCGAGGGAGAAAGTGGGGGGAAGTTGGGGGGTTATGAGGGGACAGATTCGAGGACGCGTCACACGTAACTTGCTCAAGTCTTTGAGAATGTGAAGGGAAAACGAGAACTCATCCATTCACTCACCGTAAACTTCGTTGTTGGTGATAGCGATGAAGGATTTGCCGAGTGTAGGCCCGTGCCCACTGTACGTAACTTGAATCACGCCAGGCGACTGGTTGAAGACGGGTATCCCGGTTACCCGCATGGAGTCAACTCGCGAGGACATGGTCCGGTGAAGATCAATTCTTCCAAATACACTCCCCTTCGCGACTTGAATTCCGTAAGATCTGATAATAGAAATTGTAGGGCACTGTGCTTTGGACGTAACTTCGGGTACTGTAGTGCAGGATGGCGACGACGTGCGAACGCTGAGCTTGAAATCGATCTTCAATACAAGCACGTTGCTCGTGTTCCATATACGCAGTACTGGCTCATTCGCTCCGGTATGAGTGATCACAAACGGAGTCGCGGCGGTTTTCGCCGATCGGAAAATGGTGCACGAAAACTGGCTGTCGAACAGGATCCCCTTGCTTATAAAGAGGTTCTTCTGCAGCTCCAGAATGACCGTTGTAACGGGGCTGAACTGTAATCGCTTGCTGAAATCAGCTACAGTGGAAATGTTGATAACGGTAGCTGCTGCGTAGTCGGAGCAGAGGCCATCCAAAAAGGCGTCAGCTGAAGGAATATGGGGGTTGATACAAAACGGGATTCGTTGGCCGAAGGCTATGTTGTAAATACGAATGACAGTTCAAGGGAAAATGTGGAGAAAATCGTCCTATGAAAGGTCAGTTGGGGCTGTGGAGTTGAGGGTGAAGAAAGGACGAAAGAAGTCCAATGAGTGAGTCGAAACACTGCGAATATCGCCCGTGACTAAGGCGAAAAGCTGACGTGTGGAAGGGCGGAAATTTACGCGCCTTAAGGCGCAAGGCGAAAGGCGAAAGGTGTTTTTCTCACAGAAAATTCAAGAGGACTCACCCATCCGCCTGCGCCCCAGCTGAACATCCTCGCGCGCCACGTGTGCCAGCCGTTTCCTCGAAGCGCTCACTCCGGCAGCGACGGAGGGACGGCTCAAGGCAGCTCCCTCCGCTTGCGACTCCCCGTGCGACTCCGCCTGCTTCTGCGACTGCGACTCCCAGGTCTCATTCCCCGCCGCGAACGGAGAAGCAGACGACAGCGACGGGACTGCCGCGTCGCTCGATTCCAGGTCAGCAGCGTCCTGACGTGGACGCGTCAATGACGGCCATTGGTCCAGGAAGCGCCAGAAGATTCCGCGGTACTTTGCTACGTCTGCGGAAGAGTCGGCGGGGGAGAACGGCGGCCGGAGTGGGGGGAAACGGTGCGGAGATGGCGCGGAAACGGCGGGAAGAAGGGCCGGAGAAGGAGAAGAGACGGCGGACAGGAGGGGCGAAGGCGGGGGGGATGCGGGGAAAAAGGGGGGGATGGGGGGAAGGGACGAAGCAGGAGATGGAGAAGGTGACGGGGAAGGCACAGGTGGGGGAGGGGGAGAGATGAGAGCCGATGGGAGGAATGGGAGGAAGTAGCAGGTTGAATAGGGCCAGAACTATCACTTGACCGACGAATCGTGAAAGCCCACAGCGGAGGGTGCGGAGGGAAAGCGAGAATGCTTCATATGAGCGTGTCTGAGGGAACACGCTCTGGCATATGAAAGCGCTAAAGAAGAGTAGTAAATCGACTTGAAAAGCACACTGCGGGAGGCACATACCTGAGGGAGCGAAGGCGTGGACGGGAGAGAGCGCGAGAGCGACAGAGAGGCAGACGAGTATCGAGAGAGGAACGCCACGCGCTTGCGCACGGCGTGTCGTCATGGCGAGCGAAATAAATAAGGTGTTTCCAGGGGCCTGCCGCCTGCCGCGAGGATTTATGCCGTGCGCTGAGCCGTTCCTTTAAGGTGAATAGGCTCCCAAAATTAGTGCAAACGATGGGCTACTGCGGCGAGCAACGCATGCCGTAAAGGTCGGAGTAACACAGCCTACGCGACGGGGTTCCACCTTCGGTGTCTATATGTCTCGTCTGCGATGGAGGGACTTTCTGCGTTGCTTGATGCAGTGGGGAGTGGCTGACTGCGACGACCAGTTGGTAGATCAGGATTTATGCGTTTCCTTGAAACAGGAAACCTGAACGATCGAGGACGGACTAGGTTATCTTAGAAGACGCGCTGGCGATTCAGTAAAACATTTCTGACTGCACGTTAGGGCTCAACCGCCTGGATTGCCGCCGTGAGTGCAGGAAGAATCCTCCTAAAATGCTGTAAAGCAAAGGTCATGATATAATGAGAAGCTAGAGGGGGTTGGGAGGAAGCCAACCACTTGGGGCAGGATGAGTTTGATAAGCTATGCTTGATTTGCTGTTGTGGTGATGTGTTGTGGCGAGGAGGGAGGAATGAGCGCGCAGAGAACACGCACACCTGCGATCCTGGGTGTGTGATGTGACTGGCTGGAGGAGAATGCGGTCAGGTTAGAGAACTTCTTTTCAGCGAAGTCAAAGGGCGCCGAAATTTGCGCTTGGTTGCAGTGGGGCAGGTCCTGAAACCCTGATCTCGAAAAAAACAGCTGAAGAGGAACATGGTTTGGTGCTGGCACTGTTGGAGCCTCGTCAACACAATCACTGTGCACCCGCAAGCTGACAGAAGTATTTCCCAAACGCATCGCCTCGCATCGCATCGTGCCTGCATCGTCGTGGCGGGACTCGTTGCACGAAACATTCAGGGAGGAGTTACTGGGTATGCTGTATGCGATTTAGTTTGCGACGACCCGAAACCTGCAACAAACCACAGCGTCATCGTTGACGGAGGTGGGGGGACCAGACCAGATGGAACTTCAGGAGAATATGCGAGCAAACTGACGAACCGCAGGTGCGCACCTCGCGGTCTGTTGGAGGGGTACAAACTTCAGCATCCCCGACGGCGTATGATTGGGAACGTGGCTTCCGCGTCAGAAGATACGTCAATACACCTTTTGAAACCTACTGATGTTCACTTACAAAGTAAATGAGCGTGTAAGACGCGAAAGACCATTTACGAAACGTCAAAACTATGGAGAATATACACATACGTTGCACCATGGTACAACCGCCAAGGTTTACTCTAATGAGTTGTCAATCAGATGATTAGATCCCATAGCGAGCAGCATGTAAAAGCCAGCTGGTCTTGGGATGTTATAGTTCCAAAAGTAAGAATTAAGCGATAGCCTGCGAGGACCGGAGTACCTTCTTGGGCAGTTCTTAAATCTTGGTCGAAACTTGAAGAGCAAGGAGGTAGTCTTCAATCCAAAATCGTTCCGGCGCAGATTCCGAAAACCCGCCTTCTTCGGGTAAGGAATGGGAATCTGCGTGAGGTTGCTTAATATGTCGATATTATCGACAGCAATGCAGTTGTCGTAACCCATCGACTCGGTGTTGTTGCTGATGGTAACCAGGTCGATGTTATTCTCCGTGGGCAGCCCGCTACAGTTGCCAGAGGTTGTAGCGTTCAGGCCGAAATCTGGATTGCATATCATTCCCCCGTTCACATCGGTCTGTGTGCAGATCTGCTGCAAATAGGGGTAAGCCTGTGGGGTGAAGAGGGAACAAGGAATTGGGTTTCATGAGAACTGGGATAGAATGCAAAGAGGGAAATAACAGAATAAGAGACCATATGCTGAATCCATTTATACTGGAGAGGGGGACCGGATGGAAGGGAGGGAGAGGGGGGGAGGGGTGTGGGGGTTGTAAGCCTTTGGCAATGAGATGCAAATAAGAAGCAAGGAAGATATATCACTCAAGTAAAGCAACCATACCCAAGATTGTTCATTGTGGAAACTGTAGGGAAGATTGTATAGCAAGAATACAGTGTTCGTAGCAGGAAAGTTGTAGTATTTCAAACGCATCGACTCCCAATAGCACCCCGAATTCTTCAGGCAATTAACCGGGAAGACTGTAAAGAACGGACCAGAGAGAGATTACAGTGTTTATAGCGGTGGAGTTGTAGTACTTGAGCCGCATCGCCTCCCAATAGGTCCTCGGCTTCTTCAGACAGTTAACAGTGGAGACTAAAAAAAAAACAGACTATAGCAAGACTGCAGAGAGACTGTAGCGAGACTGTAGCGAGACTGTCGTGAGCTTACAGTGTTTATAGCGGCTGAGTTGTAGTATTTGAGCCGCATCGCCTCCCAATAGGACCCCGGCTTCTTGAGACAGTTTACAGTGGTAACTGTAGGGCAGGCGATGGATCCTGCAGTTCCCGGCACTTCATTCATAATCACATGCTTCACAACGTTCCTGTAACGGAGGGAGTGGAGGGGGCACGAAAGGATTGCTTAACAATGCTTCACAATCATTTGAAGCACTGTAGGGCAGGCGATGGATCCTGCAGTTCCAGACACTTCATTCATTATCACATGCTTCACAACGTTCCTGTAACGAGGGTTGTGGAAGGGGCAAGAAAGGACGTGCATTGATTGGACCTTGTAGTTCCAGGCACTTCCCTTCATTATCACGTGCTTCACAACGTTCCTGTAACGAGTGGAACGGCGCAGGCCAATGCCCTCCGCACCAAGACCAATGAGGCCTTGGCGGCGGACGAGCTCGGCATGCAGGGACCCATTGTCCCCCTTAGTGAAGGGCAGCTGCACCAGTTGATTGAGCCCCCGTTCGACAAGTAGGGTCGGACAGAGGGGGGCGGGAGTGGGTAGAAGACGTGTGGTAGGTAGGATACCGGTTTGTTTGGTTGTTTTGCTTGTGTTTGCATCTTCCATTGTACCACCTCTTAATCAATGCAAGGTCCATTCGAGAGAGATCGCGCCTGTAATCTCAGCACGAGAAGACCTAAACACTACGGTATGCGATTCGCAGCGTTGTCCCGGGCACTTATTTTCTCATTATCACATACTTAAGAGCGCTAGCACAGTGAGACTGTCTCACAGTGGGACCGACATGCCGGTACGTCTTCCGTTCGTTATGACTTTTGAGTCGACTCAAAAGTCACAGTGGGACCGACATGCCGGTACATCTTCCGTTCGTTATCAAAATTATCAAATTAACCTTCGATTCTACTCGAGGCACCTCAAGCAAATACCAGAGCCACATCTTCGCTCATTTCTTTGGGGTGTCTCAAAGACTTACGATGACCTATGAGCAAGAAAGTCTGACATATTCCCGTTGTTCATCCCCCCGCCTCGTTTTGCGTACATGCACGCACTCCCGTGCACCAAAACACCCGATGACTCTGAGGTCCCTCGAGGACCCACAATGAACTAGGAGAGCAAAAAGCACTCACATCTTGCCGTTGTTGATCCTCGCGCCCTGTTTCGCGTACATGCACGCGCCCCCGTGCACCAAAACACCTTTTATTCCTATTTGAGGCACCTAGAAAAATCACCATAGACAAAAGCAAACTCACATCTTGCCGTTGTTGATCCTCACGCCTTGTTTCGCGTACATGCACGCGCCTCCCTGCACCAAAACACCCGATGACTGGGCGTCCAGGTCATAACAGAGCGCGCCGTTGACAACGTAGTTGCAGGAAGCAACGTTGCCTGGAGGGGAGGGCAGTGGGGGAGATGAGTAAGAGGGGAGAGGCCGGGAAGTGGGGGGATGAGGATGCGGTTTAGGGTGCCAAGATGTGGCGTCCAGGTCATAACAGAGCGCGCCGTTGACAACATAGTTGCACGACGCAACGTTGCCTGGGGGGATGTTGTTGGGGGGAGGGGAGTGGGGGAGAGGGAGGATGAGGACAGCACCTAGAGAGTGCCTAGATCGGTCGTCCAGGTCATAGCAGAGGGCGCCGTTGACAACGCAGTTGCAGGATGCAACGTTGCCTGGGGGGAGGCGAGGGGGGAGTGACAGGGGTGAGGGGGTCAGGAATGAGGTGCGAAAGTAGAGTGCCCAGACGTGGCGTCCAGGTCATAGCAGCGGGCGCCGCTTACAACGTAGTTGCAGGAAGTAATGTTGCCTGGAAGGGAGGGCATGAAGAATGGGGGAAGGAATGAGAGGTTGAACAGGGGAGGGCGGAACTCATGAGGCGTCCAGGTGGTAGCAGAGCGCGCCGTTTACAACGTAGTTGCAGGACGCAATGTTGCCCACCGCTCCTACCACCTCCGCTCCTTGGTGCGTTGAAAGGAGGAGGGAAAGGAAAGGAGCCTTACCTGGGTTGATCCAGTGTGTCGAGAACACGATTCCAATCGCTTTCCCAGCGCCAGGCATGGCACCCCAGGGAGCTTGGACAACGTTGTTGGAGACATTCACAAGCATGCAGTCTCCCACGAATCTTGGCCCGGCGCCACACATGATCCCCGCGCCTGTGAACCCGTGCACGTAGTTACTCGCCACCGCCACCCCCACGGCGCCCCGGTGCAGGACTATGCCGATCCGCGCGTTGTACACCTCGTTATTCGTTATAAGCACGTTGGATTTGAGGAGGGATGGGCCGATGCCGGATAGGGCCACGCGGATGTGGGCGGGGGAGGCGACGGAGGGGAGGGATGGCGCTGTGATCTCGAGGGAATCGACTCTCACGTTCATGCTCCTCACCACGTCCACCCTGCCGTAGACTGTGCCCTATTGGGAGGGGGAGAGCAGAGCAGGTCACGAGAGAGGCAAAGAAAGAGAGGAGCGGAAGGAGGTTGAGAGAAAACGGTCCAAGATATCAGGAGTTCAGGAAGGGGCCGATGCCGGATAGCGCCACCCAAATGTGCGCGGGGGAGGCGACGGAGGGGAGGGATGGCGCGGTGATCTTAAGGGAATCGACCCTCACGTTCATGCTCCTCACCACGTCCACTCGGCCGTACACAGTGCCCTGCATGAAAGCGAATGGAATGGGGAGAGGGGAGCGGATGGGAGGGAGGGGAGGGAGCAGGTCGAGGGAGGGAGAGGTTAGGTTTATCATCAGCACAGAAGGAGGCCGATGCAGGAGAGAGAGCGACACGGATGTGGGCGGGGGACGCGACGGAGGGGAGGGATGGTGCTGTGATCTTGAGAGAGTCAACCTGCACGTTCATGCTTCGAACCACGTCTACCCTTCCATACACCATACCCTGCATGGGAGGGAGAGCAGAGAAGGTCACAGGGAAGGCAAAAGAGGGGAGGGAGCAGGGCGAGGGAGGGAGTTGGGTTCTCTTCAGAGCAGGAACGGGCCGATGCCGGAGAAAGAGCGACGCGGATGTGGGCGGGAGAGGCGATGGAGGGGAGGGATGGCGCTGTGAACTTAAGTGAATCGGCCCTCACGTTCATGCTTCGAACCACGTCTACCCTTCCATACACCATGCCCTATAAAGGCGAAACAGGGCAGAAGGTACAGGAGGGGAGAATGGGGGTTACACCACAGGTCAGTGACAACAAGACGAGGCGACGGAGGGGAGTGCTGGGGCATTGAGAGGGTCGACTCTCACGTTCATGCTCCTCATAACGTCTACCCTCCCATACACTGTGCACTGCAGTAGAGGGAACCACGAGGGGAGGTATGGGAGTGGGGAAGGTGGTTGATGGAAAGGGCTGGGGCGGCGATCATGAGTGAGTCGACCCGCGCGTTCATGCTCCGGAGGGTGGAGGCAAGGGAGGGGGAGAACGCGACAAGATTGGTTTTGAGACGTACCAATCAAAATTTCACGTGATCATGAGTGAGTCGACCCGCACGTTCATGCTCTGGAGGGTGGAGGCAGGGAGGAGACGAGGGAGGGAGGAAGGGAAGGAGGGATGGAGCAAGGGCGGGAAACTGTGAGGAAGGGAGGCAGGAAGGAGAAGGTTCTTACCGCTCCTACTTGCACGCCGTACGATCGGTGAATGGCAATCGCCGGACACACCCACGTCTTGTCCGCCCCTTGAAACCCCAAAAGAGAGAGAAGGGGGAGGGAAGAAGAGACGGTGGGAGGGCGATTCTCACCGCTCCAACTTGCACGCCGTACGATCGGTGAATGGCAATCGCCGGGCAAACCGACGTCTTGTCCGCCCCTTGAAACCCCACACACGCCGCCGACCCCGGCGCCACCCCCACCTTCCAATTCACATTCACCGACACGATGTTACTCGCATTCTCCACCTTAAAAGCCGGCATGTCACTCCCGGAATACTCAATAGTATACCCCGGCCACATCCCTACTGTTGACATGAGCAGCGAGCACGAAAACCCCACACCGAAAACGAGCCCCGAGGAGAGAACTAGGTTGTTTTGAAGGTACATAACGACAGTGACGTTGGGAGGGATTTGTAACCGGAGGTTGAAATCAGCTGGAGTTGTGATGTTTAGGACGTAGACGGCTCGTAGGCTTGTGCAGCCGCCTTTCGGGCGTTTGGCAGAGGGCTGGCGAGCGGGGGAGGGGGGTTGGGAGGACGAGGGGGGTGAGGTGTCGCCGGCACTGTTGCTGTTTTTGACGGATGTGACGGGCCATGTCAGAATGCCGGCCATGGGGTTGGTTGTGGGCGGCTGGATGGTGAATGGGAATGGGACGGGGCCTTTGAGCATGGCCGGCGAGCGTTGTTTCGTAGCACCTCTGCTGCCTTGTCCGCTGCTTTGTTTGCTGCTGCTGCTGCTGCTGCTGCTGTTGCTGCTGCTGCTGCTGCGTTGTGGTTGCATGGGTGTGTTAGGATGGCGCTTGAACCCTCCACCTGCTGCCGCTGCTCCCTCAACCCTCCCTGCTGCTGCTCCCTCCACCCTCCGGCCCTCTGCTCCGTCGATCTTCCCTCCCTTTGCTCCCTTCACACTCCCTTCCTTTGCTCCCCCTACACCTCCCTCCTCCCCTGCCCCTTCCTTGTTCCACTCTCCCTTTCCCCCTTTCCCTCCTCTCGTCTCGTCCAATGAGCTGCTGCCACGTGGAATGAGTGCAAACGAGACGTCCTTGGCAGCAAGAGCCATATAGTCACGGTCCTGTTCAGTCTCGTTCTCGTTTTCATCTCTCTCCTCTTTAATCACATCCTCGTTATAGTCACCTCCTTTACTCTCTGTAACGTCAACCCCATCAGCAGCAGCAGCAGCATCAAGCTGCCCACCAGAACCATCCTCGATATAAGCATCACCACCACCATGCGCCCCAATCGAACCATCCAAAGGCCAAGCGAAATGCCCCAGGTCAAAGCTGCTGTCTGTTGACCCCGTTGACTCCGTTGACCGGGGTTGAGGGGTCAGCCCTGGGTGGCCAATAGCCCCTGCCACGTCTCTTGCAGCCAAGGCTACCAGCTCTTCATCCGTTGACTCGGTTGACTCGGTTGACTTGGTTGACTCGGTTGACTCGGTTGACCGTGGTTGAGGGGTCAACCCCGGGTGCCCAATAGCCCCTGCCACGTCTCTTGCAGCCAGCGGTGCCAATTCTGCATCCGTAAACGCCGTTGAATCAGTTGACCTGATTGACTCGGTTGACTCGGTAGCCCCGGCCACATTTCTTGCAGCCATTGCTGCCAGTTCTGCATCTGTAAAAGCCGGACCAAATATCGGTGTAAATCCAACAGCAGGTCCGGAACTCCTTTCACTCTTTTCACTCTTTTCGCTTTTCTCTAATCCGTACTCATTGCTCCACCCCATGCCGTCCGCATCAGCAGCAGCACTCCCCGCATCAGATTCACCAGGTGCAGCATCAGACACAGAGTCCCCAGAACCATTGTCACTGCCACCATACCTGCTGGCCTGGTTACCTCCTCCTCTGTCGTCCAGAGGCCACACCAGGTTAGGACCCGCACCTAGGCTAGGCTCGGTGCGAGCTTCGGCAATGTCTCGCGCTGCCATTGCTACCATTCTAGCGCCTTCGCTGCTATCACCGGTGGTGCTATCACTCCCGTTACTATCACTATCACTCTCGTTACTACCACCGCTGCTGCTGCTGTTGTCACTGCTGTCATTCTCGCTATCATGGCTGCTGCTGCTGTCACTCCCATAGTCAACACCCGAAGCTGCTTCAAACGCGGATGCTACTGTAGCCATGGGGTTATCCTCCTCCCTGCCTTCGTAGCTTAAGCCTTGACTGCTGACACCATAATCAGCATCATAATGATCATCATAATCACCATCACCATCATCAGCACGAGCAGAAGCTGCTTCAAACGCGGATGCTACTGTAGCCATGGGGTTATCCTCCTCCCTGCCTTCATCGCTTAAGCCTTGACTGCTGACACCATAATCCGCATCATAATGATCATCATAATCACCATCACCATCATCAGCACGAGCAGATGCTGCTTCAAACGCGGATGCTACTGTAGCCATGGGGTCTTCCCCCCTGCTTTCATCGCTTAAGCCTTGACTGCTGACACCATAATCAGCATCGTAATCAGCAGCACCATCAGCATCAGCATTATCAGCATCAGTAGCAGCAGCAGCAGCATCAGCACTAGCAGAAGCTGCTTCAAACGCGGATGCTACTGTAGCCATAGGGTTATCCTCCCTGCTTTCATCGCCAAAAGCTTGACTGCTTACACCATAATCAGCATCATCAGCACCACTATCACCATCACCACCACCATCATCCCTATCGATTGCAGCGGCATCTTGCACCATACCACTGTGCCCCCACTCCCTCGTGAACCAGTCCCTGTTTTCCCCTTCCCCGCTGCTGCTACCACCACCGCTACTAGCACTATCATCCACAGCAGCGGCAACAACAACACGGCCATCAGCACCACCATCACCATCATCCCTATCGATCTCAGCAGTATCTTGCACCATACCGCTGCGCCCCCAGTCCTTCAGAAACCAGTCCCTGTCTTCCCCTTCCCTGCTGCTGCTATCACCACCGCTACTAGCACTATCATCCACAGCTGCGGCAACAGCAACTCTCCCATCAGCATCAGCATTCCCACCATCACTATCACTACCACCACCATCACCCCCATCGGTCGCAGCACCATTTTGCACCATACCGCTGTGCCCCCACTCCCTCGTGAACCAGTCCCTGTCTCCCCCTTCGTTACTGCTGCTACCACCACCGCTACTGGCACTATCATCCGCAGCAGCAGCAACAGCAACACTGCCATCACCATCCCCATCGATCGCAGAACCATCTTGCACCATGCCGCTGCGCCCCCAGTCTCTCATAAACCAGTCCCTGTCTTCCCTATCCCCGCTGCCACCACCGTCGGTATTAGCACCACCGCTAGTAGCACCACCGCTAGTAGCACCACCGCCAGTAGCAGCACCAGCACCCACAGCAGCAGCGGTGGCAACAGCATCGCTATTACCGTCACCACCTTGACTCAAGTCACTGGGTTGGCGCGAGTTAACACCCTTGCGCGAGTCACTGGGCTGGTCACTCGCGCCTGTGCCGCCATGCCACCGCACCAACAGCCCGCCTGCAAGGTCCCCCTTGAACCGCCGCTGCTCCCCCCTCCGCCTCCCGCCTCGCTTTCCGCCTCCCCCTCCTTCTCCACCGGCTCCCCCGCTTCCTCCCCCTCCTTCTCCACCGGCTCCCCCGCTTCCTCCCCCTCTCGTTACCCCATTACCTCCCCCTCTCCTTTCCCCTCCCCCTCCCCCTTCCCCCCCACTGCCCCCACTGTCCCCGTGCCGTTCATCCAAGCCCTCCAAGGAGTCTAAACTAAACTCTCCGGCGGCTTCCGCCTTCCTTCCCTCGCCGGCCGCTCCCCCCTCCCCCTCCCCCTCCTCTACCCCTCCCCCCTCCCCTTGCGACATGATTTCCGCATACGTCCTGATTCCATGGCGGCACGGTCTCGTAGTCTAAGCGCGACTCGAGACTCCGTACGTCTTTATTCTGCAAGCTGTCTTTAATCCGTGCGTGTGAGACTGTGTCGGCGTTCTTACGGCTTCCTGAATCTACCAACTCCGTCTCTTGCCACGTGTCAGGTTGTTCGCGGCCCGCTTGCCACGTGTCAGATAACCAGCGTCCGTGCGGGCGGGGGGTAGGGAAGAAGCTGTTGCGATTGCCACGTGTCAGGTGGCCACCAATAGCAGCGCCGGACGGAGACGCGAGCCGGCAGCCGCACAGGCAGAAAAACGCGACAACCAATAACGAGGTCGCGCGTCGAAGACGCAACGGCCGCATGATCTCTAGAAAAAACACAAAACTGGAGAACGAACGGACCGAAATGCGTACCGAGACAGGTGATATCGAGGAAACAGCACTCAAAATGGCAAGGAGAATAGTGGTCTACGTGGTCTACTCAAAGCCCCTAATGTATCGGTTTCGACGTTCATTGCCGATATGGTAACATATCAATCTGCGATAGAAGCGACCCTCGCTAAGTTATTGTTGGTCAACTATCACGGAATAAAAAACAGAGAACCGGCGCATCGTTCTCTTGCGACCCATACAATAGCTCCCGGCCTAATAACCGTGAAAACAAGAAATACGCCTGTCAGTGTAGCATTCCCTCGAGCGAAGCAGAAGAGCTAGTCATGAAATAGACGAACACGCGCCTTAGGTACGTACAGCACTCCAAAAGCTAACACGAGTTGAAGAAATCGACACAACCTGCGTTACACCCACTATCAGTCGAGGCGCAGTTGAGTGGCAGTTAGAAGGGACTGCTAGACTGGCAAGCACAGCAGAGTGAGTCGCGCGTAGCAGGTAGGACCGATTAGGGTGATGGAGAATCTTTAGCCAACCCTTGGCCCCATCGCAGGTGTTTTCGCTAAGAGATATCATTTGGACCGCGGTTTGTCACGGTGCTAGTACATGTGCAGCGTGAACACAACTATCTGAAGCGGTTCTAAGCGGTACGAGCTAAGAGCTTCCCTTCATAAAAAGCCGCTTGCCTGTGGAGTACAGTGGCAATCGTCGTAAGCCCAACGACGACGCCGAGTCGCGAAGGTCTGGCACGCTTCGGCGGCTCACCAAACGCAGGTTGCAGCTCCCTCGGTGGCAAGGGAGGGCGCTGCCCTTACGTGGCGTGCAGACAGTGGCTCGGTTCGGTGGGTTCTACGCTGCGTGAGCGGCGCTAGATCAATGACCACGTCCAAACAACTCTCCACTTTCGGCAGCTTCGATAACGAGGTTCCCCCAATGACTGCGCAAGTGAGCTAATAAATGAAAATGGAATTTTGCTGGTGTGTCTATAAAGAAGACAGTTCACGCAAAAGCTCATAATTCTACGTTGGAATGTATGTTGGAAGCAAAACCCCATGCTGGAAGCATTGAAATACAAGGGCTTATAAATCATTCATTGTATAAGTATAAGTGACCATTATGGAAATTGGAACGCACATGATGGTTCTAGTAGTCGCCCCCTATGCCACCACTCCCAGTTATTAAACGCCATGAAGCACTGAACACGCATCTAGCTTCCTACAAGGAATGGCTGACCCAGCCATGAATACTCCCCCTCACCAGCAGCCATCATCTGAGCTCTAATCGTCGGAGTAATCAAATCCTGGTCTATAATATGTTTTGCGTCCATCCTAACAACCTTCCGGAACCCCCACGGCATCGGAATATTGTAACCCCTGTAAAAAGACTTCTCCGAAAACTTTCTCGGCCCGGCAAGCCCCAGCGGGCAGCTCAAATAATTCGGGCGGTACTTCAAAATCACCGACGTGTTTTTCAGCCCCAAGTCGTTCCGCCGGTAATTCCTGAACCCCGCAGCGAAAGGGCGATTCAGCGTAAGGTTGATCTGCGTATTTAATTTCTCCGTAACGGTGTAGTTATCGCAGTATTTCCAATCGAGGCCGTAATCAGTGGTGTTGACCGCGATAAGGTCGATAAGATTGTCGGTTCCCAGCCCGCTGCATGCTCCGGTGACGTCAGCACCTGGCTGACCTGGCGGGTTGCATGGCACGCCGCCAAAGGCCGATGTCTCCTTGCACACGTCCTTCATCCAAGGCCATAGCTGGATGTGACAATAACGAGGGGGGAAAAGAGAGATGAGATGGAAGAGAGGAGCGGAGAGGGGGGAAGGGGGAGAGGCGATGAGGGGGGGGAGGGAGGGGAAGGGGGAGAGGCGATGAGGGGGGGGAGGGAGGGGAAGGGGGAGAGGCGATGAGGGGGGGGAGGGAGGGGAAGGGGGAGAGGCGATGAGGGGGGGGAGGGAGGGGAAGGGGGAGAGGCGATGAGGGGGGGGAGGGAGGGGAAGGGGGAGAGGCGATGAGGGGGGGGAGGGAGGGGAAGGGGGAGAGGCGATGAGGGGGGGGAGGGAGGGGAAGGGGGAGAGGCGATGGCAGAGAGGAGGGGGGAGGTTGAGGAAGGAGGAGCACACGAGCTTTACTGCCCCGTCCATAGCGACAGAAGGAGCACACGAGCTTTACTGCCCCGTCCATAGCGACAGAAGGAGCACACGAGCTTTACTGCCCCGTCCATAGCGACAGAAGGAGCACACGAGCTTTACTGCCCCGTCCATAGCGACAGAAGGAGCACACGAGCTTTACTGCCCCGTCCATAGCGACAGAAGGAGCACACGAGCTTTACTGCCCCGTCCATAGCGACAGAAGGAGCACACGAGCTTTACTGCCCCGTCCATAGCGACAGAAGGAGCACACGAGCTTTACTGCCCCGTCCATAGCGACAGAAGGAGCACACGAGCTTTACTGCCCCGTCCATAGCGACAGAAGGAGCACACGAGCTTTACTGCCCCGTCCATAGCGACAGAAGGAGCACACGAGCTTTACTGCCCCGTCCATAGCGACAGAAGGAGCACACGAGCTTTACTGCCCCGTCCATAGCGACAGAAGGAGCACACGAGCTTTACTGCCCCGTCCATAGCGACAGAAGGAGCACACGAGCTTTACTGCCCCGTCCATAGCGACAGAAGGAGCACACGAGCTTTACTGCCCCGTCCATAGCGACAGAAGGAGCACACGAGCTTTACTGCCCCGTCCATAGCGACAGAAGGAGCACACGAGCTTTACTGCCCCGTCCATAGCGACAGAAGGAGCACACGAGCTTTACTGCCCCGTCCATAGCGACAGAAGGAGCACACGAGCTTTACTGCCCCGTCCATAGCGACAGAAGGAGCACACGAGCTTTACTGCCCCGTCCATAGCGACAGAAGGAGCACACGAGCTTTACTGCCCCGTCCATAGCGACAGAAGGAGCACACGAGCTTTACTGCCCCGTCCATAGCGACAGAAGGAGCACACGAGCTTTACTGCCCCGTCCATAGCGACAGAAGGAGCACACGAGCTTTACTGCCCCGTCCATAGCGACAGAAGGAGCACACGAGCTTTACTGCCCCGTCCATAGCGACAGAAGGAGCACACGAGCTTTACTGCCCCGTCGTACGTGTTCACGCACGCTCCTCCCCGTACAAGCACGCCCGACGTGCAGTAGTCCAGATAGTAGCAATGATCCCCATTGAAAACATAGTTGCAGAGTGCCGAGTTCCCGGGGTTGAACCAGTGCGTGCAGTAGTAGATCCCCGCCGAGTCATAGTCCCCGTTCAGATTCCGCCCAGAGGAGATCACGAGGTTGCAGTTGATGCGCGTGAGCATGCAGTCACCACTGTAATGCACGTCTGCACCGCACCGAATCCCAGCGAAAATGTAGTCGTGTATGTAATTGTTTGTGACTGTAACACCAACGGCTCCCCTGTGCAATACGATGGGGGTGTTGACACCTGCAGGCGAGGGAGAGAAGGTGGAAGAGGGCGAAGAAGGAAGAAGGATCAGACCAGTGCGTGCAGTAGTAGATCCCCGCCGAGTCATAGTCCCCGTTCAGGTTCCTCCCAGACGAGATCACGAGGTTGGAGTTGATGCGCGTGAGCATGCAGTCACCGCTGTAATGCACGTCGGCACCGCACCGAATCCCGGCGAAGATATAGTCGTGGATGTAGTTGTTTGTTACTGTTATGCCCACCGCTCCCCTGTGCAAGACGATGGGGGTGTTGACACCTGGAGGCGAGGGAAAGAGGGGGAGGGGGTGGAGAGGGGTTATAATGGGTGGGAAAGAGCGTCTGATGATGAGAAAGGTGTAGTCGTGGATGCAACTGTTGGTGACTGTAATGCCCACCGCTCCCCTGTGCAAGACAATGGGGGTGTTTGTTGGTGCAACCCTACGGTTTGCACTCGGCTTGTTGTCCGTGTGCGTGAATGTGTGTGTGTATGGAATGGTATGAGGGCATGGGATAATATATATTTCATGCTTATAATTGTGTGTGAATGTTGAGTCATGATGTCGAGTGTGTGTGTCGAGTCAATAGCGAGTTATCGCTAGACGCGTGTTACGCGGTCGTTTGTGTCTCGCGCGCGGTTTCTATTTTGTCGTGCGCGGTTTCTATTTTGTCCTGTGTCGAACGTTCGGCGTGTCGCAGGTGTGTGCAGCAGACCCATCAAGAACTCAAGGATGAGTTTGTGATGAAGAGCCCGAGCCTTGGTGTCAAGCCTCAAGTGATTTCGAAGCTTGCCAAAAGGGTACACTTCAAGATATTGAAGATAGTTACATTACTTTGTGTAGTGTAACATTTCACTTGGTGTAGGCCCTAGTGAAGGGTAGTTTCGAGACCCTTCGTGGTTGGGGACAGTGTGGCACTGTTCCACATCACTGTACCTCGGCTCTTGGGGTTTGTAGGAGCTGGGAGTCATTCCCAACTCGTAACTCTTCCTATCTTGTGTTCTAAGACTATAGTGGCTGCCATAGTACCGTTCGTTCAAACCGACGCTGTGTCGTCAATTCTTTACCAAATCGTGCAATCTAAATTGCTAATTGTAGACGACGTGAAGACGCTCCAGATCCAATTTGAATCAAGTCATTTGCAGCTGTGAGCAGAACGCTATCAACGTTTGAAGCCGCTGTGCAGAAATCCGTCTGTGCTCTCTATCTTTCGTTTTAGGCACATTCAAGCCTATTGTGACTATAACAAGTAGTATCAGAGCCCCTTGGAGCAGTTTCGACAATGTCTGGACCTGAGGAAAGGGGTGGCAGAGGTGCTGGTGGCAGTGGAGAAGCTCAAGCTCAAGGCCAACCCCGTGATTCAGCCATGGCGCCCATGCAACCAAGTCTTGGTCCACCTAGGGATGAGCCTAGGGTGTTTGGGCTTGTCAAGTTCAACGGTGACAACTTTGCTGAATGGTCCTTCAAGATGGAGAACATCTTTGACCACTATGACTTGCTGGAGGTGATGGAAAGAACGGAGAAGCGCCCCGAGAACGACCCGGAGAAGAGCCCGTGGGTGCGGAAGAGCGCACAAGGCTATCTCTTACTTGGGCAAGCGTTGGGGAGCAGTCAGATCCGTCACATCAAGCCATTCCAGCGTGAACCAGAGAAAGGACCAAAGGCATGGGCTGCTCTCAAGGGTGTACATGCTCCTGCAACAGCGGCGGTAGCGGTGGTGTTGGAACGGCAAATGGCGGCACTACGAATTGAAGAAGACGAAGCGGTTGAAGAAGGGGTGCAGAAATTCTTCGACTTGTTGACGCGGCTTGAGGGAGCTGATTTGAACTACAGTGAGCTCCAAAAGAAGACCAAGTTGCTGTCCTTACTCCCAGAGTCATGGTCCTCGCTCATCATCAACCTTAATCGCGACTTGCCCCGCCTCTCGCTTGAAGACGTGAAGCGAGCTATCCTTCAAGAGGATTTCCGCCGCCGTGAGTTGGCGAGTGCGGATGGCGCTGGGGCAGCGAGCATCGGCCGTGGATATGGTCGAGGAAGAGGCAGAGGACGAGGGGGAGGAAGGTTTGGTGGCAGCAACTTCGGCGGAGGCCGCAGGAGTGGCGGTTACGGCAGCGACGACAAGAGCTACGGACGCGGTCGCGGCCGATTCGACGGCGAGTGTCACTATTGCCACAAGAGCGGAGACATGTGGCGCGACTGCTACAAACTCCCTGATGGTTGGACCCCTGCTCAAGGCCAAGAGGGTAGAGGAGCAGGAGGAGGGAGAGGACGAGGCCGTGGAGGCAGTGGCGGTCGCGGTGGCGGAGCTGCAAACATGAAGAGCGGAGACAACGACAAGGACCCGAGCGACGATCGATACCCGGGTCTATTCTACTTCGTGTCGACGCAAGTACCGGCTGGTCCAGAGAAGGATGAAGGCTTTGAGGAGCCAGCAGCTGTGGGGAAGGTGACCCTACACCCCCTGGACTATTGGGTGATTGATAGTGGCGCTACCTATAGCATGACACCTCGCCCGGACTTGCTCACCGAACTCGAGCCGTCACCGGTGAAGCATGTCACATCGGCTTTGGGGCAGCGAGCAGAGGTGAAAGGCATGGGCAAGGCCATGTTCAAGGGTGCTGATGGGAAGATGGTGGGCCTCAAGAACGTGCTTTGGGTGCCCAGCCTTGCTGCAAACCTGATTTCCGTGCGGCGGTTGGCAAAGGCCGGCATGGACACGAACTCGAAGGGAGCCAAGACCTACACCGCAAGGCTTGGCGATCGAATTCTTTGGGACCTTCATGAGGACAGGGATGTCTACAACGAGATGTGGCAGATCCCAGTGGTCCCTATGCCTAAGGAGAGGCAAGTGGCAGCAAGCATCAGCACCAAGGATGGAGCGGTCGGTAGCGACGATGGCGCGAACGGTCGCGCTAAGGAGAATGAGCTCAAGAAGAGCAAACCTGGAGGGACCAGCAAGTTCAGTGAACCTAAGGAGAGTGGTGCAGCAACCAAGGAGCAGCAAAAGGGTGAGGAGAACCCAGAGGCAGCAGCGGAGGAGGACTACGGAGAGAGTATGTGGGGCGCTATTGCGAGCGCGGCATTCTCCAATCCAACTTCGGCTACGGGGGAGTGTGATTGGCTCACCTTGCATCGGCGCATGGGGCATGTGGCCCTGCCCATCTTGCAGCAGCTAGTGAAGAATGAGATGGTTGCTGGCATACGTGTGAAGGGGGAGCCCGATGAGGTGCTTGGCTGCCCGACGTGCATTCAAGCCAAGTTCACCCGGTTTCCGTTCCCTAGTTCGGAGGCAACGGCAAAGGCACCGCTTGATGAGGTGGTGATGGACGTGGTGGGCCCCCTGAAGCTTGGAGCTGCTGGAGCTGAGTATTTTCTCACCATTGTCGACGTCTACACCCGCATGACTTGGGTGTACGTGCTGGCCAAGAAGAGCGACGTGGCTGAAACGTTGAAGACGGATTGGTTCCCGATGGTGGAGCGGCAACAAGACCGTCTAGTCAAGTCAATCCGCATCGATCGAGGGGGAGAGTTCCTGAGCAAGGAGTTTGGGTTGTGGCTGAAGAAGAATGGTATTCGGCACTCCCTCACCATGCCATACTCCCCTGCAATGAACGGCATCGCCGAGCGAGCGAACCGCACAATCACGGAGGCGGCACGCGGGTTGCTCATTGA